ACATCACACACACACACACACGACACAACCTGGTCCCAGGACCCCAGCCATCATTAGAAGGATACAGAAGGATCCTGCTATCCCACCTGCAGGACCCACACAACCACAACCTCCAGCAGCCACTGGCAAAAAGAGGAAGCGCTGCAAAGTGTGTGGACCACACACAAGAACTCCAAGACACCACATGCGCCAACTGCAAAAAGTACATCTGCGGTGCACATGATCTTAAATTCTGTCCATTGTGTGTTGTGTAAAAAGGCAGGCCCATCCACATACACAGTCTAGTGGCAGAATTATTTGAGAGATGCATTTTTCAGAGGTACTGCTTCTCAATGAGAGTGAATAAAATGTTTCATATTTTTGGTACTGTTCACCAATTGTTGTAAATAATTACATTTGTTCTAAGATGCATTGTTTAGTCAATGACTGCAATTTTCCATTTCAATTTTTATCTGAATTTATGCTGCCAAAGTGCATCCTATGCTTCTTTCTCACTCCATACGTAGTGCTCCAAAATCAGCCACAAGGTGCTGGCTAGCTCCCCTTCCAGAACCACAGACCTCCCAGGACCCTGCGCACCGGTCTCACTCATCCCAGAAATAGTGCTCCATAGACGAACAAAATGCGCTGGCTAGTACCCCAGAAATAGGCCCCCATATACAGGCACAAGGTGCTGGCTAGCTCTCCTTCTGAACCACAGACCTCCAGGGACCCTGCGCTTTGCTGTCACCCACCGCAGAAATAGTGCTCCACAGACGGACAAAAGGAGCTGGCTAGTATCCCTCAAATACTGCTCCAAAACTGGCCTAAAGGTACTGGCTAGCTCCCCTGGTGAACCACAGACCTCCAGGGGACCCTACGCACTGGTTGAACCGGGCTACACAATTCAAAACCACTCGGCCACAACTTCGTACCCCTGGTACTCCAAATGGAGTTTCATGCCCCTGGTACTACGCTGTGTTGTAAAAGAAATTTTTCTAAGTGCTGTCGGCATTTAGAGATTATTATTAGTTCAGACAGTGGAGTACCAGGACTGCGGGTGAGAAAATTTTCAAAGTTCAAACATAGTTTACCAGGGGCACAGGAGTCAGAATATTTTCTAAGTCCCAGGCAGGGACTGCTACGTACGAAATCCTGACCCAGAATCAGGTCGTCTGCAAGTGATTTAGCACCAGATTCTCCACAAACATGTGGTGCGAGATAGGGGAGGGGCCACCATCATCCAGCCCCCCAGCCCTGTCACGGATGGCTCTGCTCACCAACTGAGGCTGGCTAACCGAAGATCCGCGGTGCTATGGTATCGTTACGTCTAGGCGGGATTCTGACTTAGAGACATTCAGTCATAATCCCACAGATGGTAGCTTCACACCATTGGCTCCTCAGCCAAGCACCACCAAAATGTCACCAAATGTCTGAACCTGCGGTTCCTCTCGTGCTGAGCAGGATTACTATTGCAACAGCGCATCATCAGTAGGGTAAAACTAACCTGTCTCATGACAGTCTAAGCCCAGCGCACGTTCCCTATTAGTGGGTGAACAATCCAACGCTTGGTGAATTCTGCTTCACAATGATAGGAAGAGCCGGCATCAAAGGATCAAAAAGCGACGTCACTATAAACGCTTGGGAAACTGGGTTTCAGAAATCGTGCAGTGTTGCTACAAGAAACGGGGGAAACCTCATTTACCAAGGAAGGGGAGGACCCCATTAACCCAGAATTTCGGCTGCCACGCACCTTCCTTGGTAAAATAAAATTTCTGGCTTTTTCAAAGTTCCAACACGGACTACCAGAACCATGGGAGTCAGAATATTTTGAAAGTTCCAACACGTAGTACCAGGACCACAGGAGTCAGAATATTTTCAAAGTTCCAGCACGGAGTCTGTACACCTCCAGGGACCCTGCGTTTTGCTGTCACCCACTCCAGAAATAGTGCTCCATAGACGGGCAAAATGCCCTGGCTAGTACCCCACAAATACTACTCCAAAATCAGCCACAAAGTGCTGGCTAGCTCCCCTGGTGAACCAACCAAAGCTCCAGGGACTGCTTTATTCTGTCCACATAAATAGTGCTTCAAACTGGCCGTGCTGCATTGTGCTTCATCCATGGATAACCAGGCACACTGCTTTATTCTGTCCACATAAATAGTGCTTCAAACAGGCCGTGCTGCACTGTGCTTCACCCATGGATAACCAGGCACACTCTGCTTTATTCTGTTCACATAAATAGGGCTCCAAACAGGCCGTGCTGCACTGTGCTTCACCCATGGATAACCACACACCTCCGGCCAGGCTCTGATCACCTCTGGGCCCTCACACTCACCTCCAGAGAGCCCCAGTGTCTACTACACTTTATCCAGGGATGAGGACACATCTCCGGCCAAGTTCTGATCATCTCTGGGCCCTCACACTAACACCCCCCCAGCCTCTGCTACACTTTACCCAGGGAGGAGCACACACCTCCGGTCCAAAAAGTGAATGCCACACAAGGGTTAAACAAAGTCCACATTCTCAACATGTAGCACTTTTTACTTAACTTTAACTACTGTAGCAGAGACTAGCCGGAAGAAGGAGCTGGAGAGCAGAGTTTGTCTTTTGCTCTTTTATTTCTCCCCTGTCAACAGCACAGCAACAACAGAACAGAGGCACACTCTAAACACACTCGCCCCACCAACACATAACTGTGTAGAACCCACCCAGAGGGGCATTCTGGGGGACCCCACCAAGTGTCTCCCTGCCCCCAAAGCTACACTATTTTTGTACTTTTTTATGAGCTTTCGAGTCTGCCTCGAGGGGACCCTTGTCGCGTCCCCAACTGTTTGCTCTACTTGCCAACAATCGGCTTCCTTGTGAGTCACCGGGGATTCCCATGGGGATGCGACGAGAGGGGCGAGTCTGCAGAACTGGAGCAAAGCGCTGAGAGAGGAGCTGGAGTGAGGGACAAGATGGACAAGCTGGCCGTGCTGGCGGAGTTGCAGGGGTGTACAGGAGGAGAGGTCCTGCACACGCTTCACTGGGACTCCAGGATCTGTGGTCCGTGGTGACGGTTCTCCACTGATCCCCGGGCCGGCTCTGCTGCTGCATGCAGGCGCACGGTGTCTCAGTGGACACAGCACCCACAGGTCCTAATCCTTATCTCGGGGACCTCAACCATGCCATGCCTCCCTCGCCCTCTCTGCCACCCTCCTACACAAAGAACAATAAAATTCTGGACCATACCATATGCTAATACTAGGAATGCGTACACTTCCGCCCCTCCCCCTCTGACCACAGAC